ACAAGTGCACGCCAGATGTAGGATGCTGAGCCTTGCCATTTAATTAAGGAGAGTGAAATTAGGGTTAAAAGCCCTGAAGAGACTGATTGTTGTTATGAAACAGTGAACTGATAGGTACATACTGGAGATACAAAAAGCTCAAATTAGTATATACTGTATCTTTGTGGAATTTGCAGTGCTTGTAGATGACAGGGCCTGTAGGTATGGCTTGAGCCAATCTTGTAGTAGCTTTTACTGTTAGGAAGATGATTTACTCTTTCATGCATGCAGACACATTATTCCGTAATTTTCAGCTGTCCTGCCTGCTATTTGTATGTTCAGAGGAAAAAGTTCAGGGAGAATTTGACTTGTCACAGCAGTTTACAGACTTGGGTGGTTTTTTAATTGTATTTTAAATTGTATTTTAAAACAGTAATGGTCAGACACTAGATACATTAAAAAATTATCTTCCAAGCTTTTATTACTTGAAACCTGACTATTAAATAATGAAAATATCAATACTGAGAAAGGGAATTTTTAGGGATACATAACAAGGAAATAAAAATAAAAAATTAGAACTGTTTTATTTATTTGTTTGTTTGTGTGTTTGTCTTTAAGACCCATGACAATCTTTAGTCAAGGAAAAAAAAAATCTTGTGGGTTTCTTAGAAAAATATTCTTCCTCGATAAGTTTTCCTACGCAAAGAAGGATTCATATGATTACGTGTTTTGGTTCAAGAATTCTTTGAGGTGATCAGCAGCAAAATGACATTTTTTTTTTTTTTTTAAAGTAGGTGAGGAGGAAAAGCTATTTATGTTTAAGAGATCCTTAAATAGGAGTTGAAGAGCTTAAGTAGCTGGCTGAGATGTGTGTATGTCCGTAAGAGAATTTAGGCACAAATTGTGATTTGTGCAATTGTCAGCATTACTAGCGCAATTGGTTTGAAAGTTTTATGAATAACGAGATATTTAAACTGATTAAAGATACAGCCGCTTAAGTCGTTTGTATATGATGAGCTTATCCCAGCGGTTACATGACTGAAAGACAGTAGGCTTGGCTCTGTTTTCTTTATGCTTTCTTTTGTTCAGATTCTTCCTATTCTCAATCCATATTTTTGATTCGAGTTCATGTTATAAAATTCTGCAAAAACCTCTTTAGTAGGTGTCCTTGTAGGGTTTTTTATGTTGATTTGTCCAAGTTCATTAATTTTTGTGCGTTTGAAGACAGTTGCTTGAGTTTTTTAAAAGTGTTGGAAAGTGTTAAGTGGCTGCTGTACTTTAGCATAGTCTATGTTGTGGTCGATAAACCAGGAAGGTAATACTCAAGATCTACACAGGCACATATTTAGTATGATACATAAATTGCTTAAGCCACCTGGCTAGTCTATAATTCTGGCTGCATTGCATATTTTTTCCCCTCATCCAAAATTCCATTTTCCAACTAAACCTTTGTGCATCTTAATTTTTTGTTTTGTTTTCAATTCTACACTGAATTAAAAATTAGTATTTGAATCTACAATTCCTGTCCTGTAACAGCTAAAATCTGCAGTGCAGTGGACTGTATACAGGATAAAACTGACAGGAGCTTAAGAAGCCTTTGACTATGCCCTTTTTTTTCTGTAGGGGAAAAAAGAGGGAGAAAGAATTAACCTTTAATGTGAAAATAGAAAGGCATGGTAGGTTTTGTCTCTTTTCCTCTGTGTACATGTATGTCTACTTCCTGCTTACAAACTTAACTTTTTTGCTTCCTGTATGGAGTTTGCTGCCTCAGGGTATGCAAAACTAATTGTATGATTATGTATTCAAATATGGTCGTGTTTGATGAATAGGTAACGCCCTTCTGTAAAATACATTTTTAAAAAAATAATGGAAATAGCATCACACGTCCATGCTACTCTTAAAAAATGCTAGATACTTATTAAACTTAATCCTGCAAAGAATCAGATCTGATAGCATGATAAATTACGTTTGTTATTCTCCTGTTTTCTAAATTATTCTCCCAGGCACAATCTATAAAACTCTAAACACCATTGTCCAAATTTTCTTAGTGTTTTATACAGAGATCATTTAAACAGACATACTACGAAACCTATGCAGAAAGATTTATTCCTTTTCTGTCAGTGGGAGAGATTAGGATTCTAACAATTTTCACTAGAGGAGACTTAAGAATCCCTCTCCCCGGCTGTGTGGACCTTCAAATCAATCTGTGTCTTGATGTAGCTTTTGACTTGACGGCAGCTCCAATACTGTTGCTGGTACTGGTAGCTCTGAGGCAGTGAAAGCTTATAGCTGCATTTGGTTTAGACTGAGGTGGCTTAAAAATCTGGCACGCCGGATTGAGACAAGAAGCATGTATTTGTAAAGCAGGTCTACTGTTGTGATGGGCTTTAAGTACGTTTTTGCCCCATTGGGTTTAAACCTGCTTTTCCCTTCTTCAAAAGGTTTTGTGCTGGCTTAGCCTTCTTTAATTGCAACTTCAGTGTATTCAGCCAGAGCTGTGTGCCTGATTCTATCTGTGGTCTGACAACCTTTTTTCCTTACAGTAACACATTAGTGTCCGTTTCACACCTTAGATGTAATTGTGCACACAGACTTGTCTTTTGGCTGGATTTCTTATGTTGGATAGGTACTTCCCAGGCTTCTTCATTCTTTTTGTATGAAGGCATGACCATTGCAAGACCTAATGTAGTTTTTGGTATTACTTTCTTGGTTCTGTCTATTCTTTTTGTAACAGTGAATGGCTCTTAATTTGTCTGTATTCATCACCTAGAATTCATTTAACTTCTACTGTGGTGGTTAAAACGTGCAATTTTTTTTAAACAAGATCTATACATGCATTACATAGACAGGCACACACCTGTCTTCCATCTTTGGTGTAGAATGACTACAAAATACTGAAGCACGCAGAAGGAATTGCTACCACTGTTCACAAAAGACAGACAAATGATCACATACGTATTTTGGAATGTTGTAGAAAAACTCTAGGTATTTAAAATTTTATTTCTCAGAAGTTCTCTAGTACAAAATGGAAGTCCCTATTCATGAGATGTCCTCTGCTGTTTTATTTCCTTACGATCAAAGGTTCAGCTCTTTGCATTCAGGGTAGAAATTGTTAATTGAAGGCGTGATAGCATGCCAACGATAATTAGCGTTGAGCTGTATGCCAAAGTTAGCATAATCCATAACAATTTAATATATGAATGTACATGTTAGAGGCATTTATGTACAAATTTGGCTTACATTAAATTGCAGTTCATTTTTATACAGAATTTAGAGGGTATGTGCTTTTAAAATGTCATTTAAGCATTCTGGGAAATAGTTCCCAGGTTATAAACGGGAAATGTGTAAATAACATTCTGCTCATCAGGTTTTGGTGAGTTGATTTCTTATGCCATGCTAAATTAGATATTTTATACAGATATTTGTATGTTTTATAGAGTTATGTGTGCTCTGTATTACATATATTTGTGAATATGAAGTTCTTGTATTAAGCTGTGGTAAAACCAAATTCACTGCTTCCCCAAATTATCTGTGTTTTCAGACCATAGATTATTACAAAATAAACCACTGTGTTATACAGCTCTTTTGTGACAAATGGGTATGTCTGTTAATGTATCGTGTTGTAGGAGATCATAACAGAGAGGGTAATTTGAGTGTATATAAACAGAAAGAGCAACCTTTTTTTTTTTCCTGATGTACTACAAGCACATAAGAGCACATCCTTTGGCTGTTGTCAGGAAGTGGTGCATATATGTACGTTTCTTGTAGCACTCTTATTCAAGATTTAAGTGGTTGTAACTTTTTTGGTTTTCTTCTAAAACTAGACTTGTTTCTGTACAAAGTTCTAATACAGTTTATCTAATTCATTTTAAATGTTAGTTTATCAAAGCTTTCCCAAGTGTCTTCATATAGATGTGATAATTTACTGCTTTTGAAAAATCTTTCCTACTTTATTCTAATTTATACTTCCTGGCACACTCGAAGATATTTGTATCTTAAGTATAAAGGAGCAATTCCTCAATTCTTTATTTTCATTATAGAACATTTTTCTGGTGACATTTAAAAAGGATCAAATGATTTTTGTGTCTTCTGTTTGTATTTTAACATTGTTATACTTGTTTGTCACTTCAGTAACAGCATATGTAAAGTTACCTGAGTGTCTAAACTTTTTTGGGTATTCATTTGCATTTGGTAGAGATGTTTACAAACATCTAGAAATTTGCTAGCCTTAATGTAGTGCATGAGGTACTGACAAAATGGCATAGTGAAATGTTTCTTGTGAGGGTTGTGTTACACAAACTATTTTTTCCAGCATGAGACAGCTGTTGCAGCTTCATCAAAACAGCTGCATCTAGACCTGTAGACAATTGAATGTCTATATGCGACTGTAGAGTTACAATAATGAATGTAAAGTAATGTTAGGAGGCAGTTGTTATTTTCAAAATATGTAGTGATAATAGCTTTTGTAGCCCTTGGAAAAGGATGAAGATGGTGTTTCCTTCTTACTGGAAAAGGATGATTTTTCTCATGATTGACTGATTGATCAACCCTTTTAGAGGGTTGGATGGTATTTCTTCAAATTCCTCAAGCTCTAGTTTGTGGATATTGGTAAAGATAGTTGTAGGTCAGTGGCATCTGCAAATAACTATATTATAGTACATCTTTTATTCACCAGCTACTTTGTTTGCTTTCACACATCCTGGAGATGCAGCCTGATTCTTCAGTGCTCATTAGAAATTCTTCTGCCACATTGTAATACAGATTTTATTTTCAGTTGTTGTTGGGCTTATGAATTAGTGCTAATATTAACTCTGGAAATAGAAGCTGGAAAACTTGAAACACTGTTCAAATCCAGGACTTAAAACACTGTAAAAGCTGTGCAAAAATTTCATTACATTCTGAATATACATTTCAGATTTGTATGTTTTAATGACTTCTTAAAGGAAAGCTCTACTCAGTTACAGAGAATTGCTTATTTTATTTTTACTTCTGGGTTAACTAGTGTACTCTTCCATTTCAGAATGTATGAAAACATGTCCACAATGGTGTATTTAAAGGAAGAGAAGTTGGAGAAGCTCACTCAAGATGAAATCATTGCCAAAACTAAGCAAGTGATTAATGGACTAGAGGCATTGAAGAATGAACACAATTCAATTTTACAGAGCTTACTTGAAACACTGAAATGTTTGAAGAAAGATGATGAAACTAATCTGGTTGAAGAAAAATCAAACATGATTCGAAAGTCACTGGAAATGCTGGAGCTTGGCCTTAGTGAAGCACAGGTAAAATTGCAGTAGAAATAAAGCATTTCGGACTTTGAATGAATTTTTGGTATTAAAAAAAATAAATGAAAGATCATTATTTGACCTATAATTGGAAATTTTGAAGTAAACAGAGATCAGTTTTGAAGGACTTAATTTGCCTTACTGAATATTAGCAATGTGCTGGGACACTTATGTTATTATTGTATGTTAAGGAAAAAGACTGCTGTACTTAATAGAGGTGGATACTGGCTGTCTTGCTGTGTTACAGAACTAATTACATTCAGTATTAAAGCACTGAAGCTCATAACTGAGCTCCTCTTCACTTCAGTGAGACAGTTGCTGTTTTCCGTTTAGACTTTTCCACAGCATTAGGCAGGTAATGTTTGAGCAGCTCAGGAACTGAGCATTGGCATTTTCACTCTAAATTGTTGCATGGGGAGGTCTCACAAATAAATGAATTTGCTCCAACCTTTGAGCTCTGCCGTAACATTAAATTCATATTTTTATTCCCTTGATTCTGAGATTCTTTATAGTAGCTCACGGTGCTTCTGGAGCTTAAGAATATCTGATGTTTATTGAACATTTTACTAAACAAAAATTGAATTGACAAACATTTTAAAGGTTAAGAATCGAGTACAGAATCTGAACAACTTTCACTGATGTGTTAAAGAAAGTTCACAGAAGTTAGCTGAGTCCTATCTTAGTCGATGAAGGTATCGTCTGCAGAAGATGAGTGAGAAGATGCATGCGTCGTCAGGTTGTCAGGACTGTATTTACAGTCCAGCTTTAGGGTATTTTGTACTGGGTCAAAAACCTGAAACAATCTGATGCGACACAGTCATCAGTATAAAATGGCAGAGTGTTTGCAAATGAGTTGAAAATGCCAATGAGTTAACTTTATATTAATAGGCTTTATATTGGTCTATAACTGTGCTCAGTCTTCTCATCTGGATCGAGCTAGTATTATGCGGCGGTCTGGAAGTTGTATGCATTGGATCATGGTAAATTGAGGCCTGAGAGAATGAACAAATACGGGTTACCAGCCATGGGCATGTAGAACCCCTGGACATTATGGTACAGACTGTCAGGCCTTAGTATGTTGTACAAGCTTTGATCCCTTGTATTGGAAGAAAATACTAGAAGAGATATGGAATAGAATTGCAATAGTTGAGTTACCTTTAATGGGTGTTTGCAGAAGATCTGTGAGTGAATGAGTAGCTTTTCTTTCCTAACTTTGACATGGTATTGGGACTCCAAAAAACTAGTTCTGATTCTTGGCTCTATCAGATTCAGCAGCCTCAGTTGCAGATGTTATTTCCTTCTTTGCCCCACATAGTGTTTTGTGAACTGTGGTGGCGAGGAGCCAAGAAGTCTGCATTTACTGCCTTTGTCAGGAAAGCAACTGCACTTCAGGCTACTACTCTCAGACCTGATAAGCCTACTCTCCCTGCACACTTTGGGTTGCAACAATATAGTGGGGTTTTTTTATTTGCAGTGTTTAAATTAAGATATGGAAATATTTTATAGATGTTTTTGTGGCATGGATGTAGGTCTGATGACACGTGTTATTTCCATGAAAATGAAACTGATTTTGCTGAAGAAGTAATCAAACTTTTCTTTCAGTTAATTCTAGAGAGTAAGATCACAAAGGATTTTGGTTTGCCATTGTAGCTTGTAGAATGTTGTTTGAGTATGTTGACCCTATTATCGCAACTTTCCTAAATATACTTTCTGACGTCACAAATGCCACTGTTTGAATAGGGCAAATAATTTAAATTATTAACAATTTTGAATATGTAAATAGGTAGGTGCTGAAGTCTGGAGATTTGGACTGGTATTAGGAAATTACACCTGGATTTTTATCTTACCTTTATAGGGAAAAGTAGTTTCTAAAGGCTTGATGTATTTTTTGAAACCTGAAATTTCAGCTAAGGACACCATCTGTTTCACATGAAATATTTAGTTTAAAAACACTTCAAACTAACTTGTTTTAAAGAAACACGAAATTGAGGAGATGAAATACTGATAACCTGGGCATGTCAAACTCATCTAAAAGAAGATCTTTATTATCACCAGTTGCCCATTCTTACAAGGTGTGCTTCCTGGGATTGCTATCAGCTGTTCTAGGTGTATCAGTGGGAGATTACATAAGCAGTGAAGGGAGAGTATCTTCTGTATGTGTGTATCTTCCGTGACTCTTCAAACACATTTATTGAATGTCTGCACGCTCAAGCTTATGATATGTATATATAAAGTGCTTATATAAATTCTGTGTTCAGTTGCACATTTAGATCTCAGTAGTATAATTGTCCCTTTGAAGTATTATCGTTGTGCTGAGGTGTTCACCCTTATGAACTGTAAGCATGTGTACGAATCCTTTCCTGTCTGAAAGCTGCTAAATTAGAACTCTGTGTTAGTTCTCAGGTTATTTTTGTGATCCTTCAAGTTAAAAGTATTACTGCTCCATTTCATGTTAGAGGAATGAAGATTTCTGTTTCAGTAATCTAAATCCTAGTTCAAATTTTTCATGTATTTTAATGTGATATGTAATCTTCAGGGAATTCTAAACCAATTTGACTTCTGATAGCATCATGGAAAACAATCATTAATAAAGAGTTCCTCTAGGTTAATTCTGGCTGAGCAAATGGTAAAAAAGTTCAGACGAAAAGTGAGAACCAGATATATAAAGAAGAGAAATCTGAATGTTTACCAGATATCACAGCTGACATAGGTTTTAAATAATAAAAGTCTTTCACGTTAAATACAGAACTGCATTCAGGAGGAAGTATGTCATGTAACACCTTTTGTTTTTTAGGTAATGATGGCCTTGTCAAATCACTTAAATGCAGTGGAATCAGAGAAGCAGAAATTGCGTGCTCAGGTTCGCCGGCTATGCCAGGAAAATCAGTGGCTACGGGATGAACTAGCCAATACACAACAGAAACTACAGAAAAGTGAGCAATCTGTGGCTCAACTGGAGGAAGAGAAGAAACATCTAGAATTCATGAATCAATTAAAAAAATACGACGATGATATTTCACCATCAGTAAGTAGCTGTATAGTAAAAAGCACCTTACATTTACATGTGTGGTGTAATCTGCCTAGTTACCAAGAAATGACAGATATAAGCTTTTAATTTGTCTCTAACATGAACTTGTCATTAAAACGTTTGCCTTATACCAGTGTCACATAGTTTGCAGAAAGATTCTCAGAGTTCAGTTCATTCTTATTTTAAGAGCGTAAATGTTTTACTGTCTGTTGATAATTAATAAAATACATGAGGGTCAAAATGCATAAATACTTACTTAGTGTCATGTTAGCTTAAAAAAAAAAAGAGCTGAACTTCAAGCCAAAAACTTCCTTCTGTAAATTCAATAGTTAAAATAAGTGGGAAATGTAAATTATTAGAGATTCTAAGTACGTAGGGGACGTGGCTTATTTTGACTGCAAGAAAAATATTTAATTTTTGTGTAGTGAAATAGGTGTGTAGCTTTTATATCTGTTGAGATTTTACATTAGGATAAGGATATTATTGAATCCCCTTTCATGACCTTCTGCCAGACATCGGGATCATCTGCACGTTTTCAGTCATGTTTAGCTAGTCCATTGTGTTACCAATTCTTAGATTCAGAGAGAAAATGGGTGAAATTTTAATTTACGGAAGTAACTTAGCAGTTAAAAAGACTTCTGAATTATTTGCCCTTCTTGCTATCTTTTATTTTGTTTTCTTAAGTTAGATGGCACCGTAGAGAAATAACTCATTTTGTATGTTCAGACCTTCTCAGCTGCGTCTTGGAAAGAACAGTTTTTCGTAACCAATTATTTCAGCAACATAATGGTTGAAAATGTATGCATTTTAGTCATGCTTAATTGACTGCTTGACTAAATCCTTTTTAACATACTGTGAGTAGTGAGAGTTGTTTTGGTCAGTTGCACATGGAACTTTTCAGTGCTATTTCATGAGTTGGTATTTGTAGCTGAATACTGCCAGTGAAGCCTGTTTAGGAAAGGGGCTGGAGGAAGGAATATTGGGATTTTGATGTGCTGACTGTTGAACTGTAATCTGCAGATGGCCTAAATAGCACCATTATTTGAAGTTTAATTGGCAAGTAGGGTCAAAGTAAGCAAAAGCATCTTTGTAGTTTCACTAACCATATGGGCAGTCTATGTTAGCCTTTGAAAATAGTCAATTGTATATACTCAGTGTGAGGTTGGAATCAGCACACTTAAAATTATGAATTTCCTATCTGAGATCTAGTCCCATCAATCTGCTGTTTTTGGAGAGCACCCACTTTGTCACCATTGAACTTGAATGCCAGCAGCAGCAGTTGCCTTTTTCTCAACTGTGGAAAAAGGTGTTGGATGGAGAGCCAGAAAAATAGGAATGTGTTCTGCTCCTGGGTTTTCTCCTTACTGAGATTAATGTTTCTGAGAACTTCAACTATTCATATTGTGTAGCCTCCACATTTAAGAAACAGGGTTGAGGGATGATCTGTTTCTTTATTTTACGTGATTGTGGGATTTGGAATGATCTTTGGATGTTAAAAATCAGTATACATTGATGGATTGTGCAGAAATTAATATGGTTCCAGATGGAGACTATTGGAGATGAACTTCCTTCCGAGTGGTTTTGTTTCTTTTTGAACCTTACAGATCACAATTGCAAAATCTATTATTTGTGCAGAAGTTGAGTACTCAGAAATTGAGGTGACAGAATTAAAGGTGCTGGTGCAACTTTATTCTCCTTCAGGAGATGATCTCCTTATTCTTCTCCCTTGCTCATCTATACCTGCGTTTGTGACTAAAAAAGTACAGTGGACAATTCTGTATTCAGTAGCACTCACTCTTCGCTGGGTACTTCCATTAAGTATAATGTCTCTGTAAGAATAGCAAATGTGTTCTTGTGTGCTTAAATTGAGACGGAAATCTAGGAGACCTGATTTCTATTCCTGGCTCTTCTGAAGGTGTCCTGTATTGTTTCGGGACAGAGTATGTAAATACATTTGAACATAAGACCTTCATTAAACTTCTGTGAGAAATGTTATTCTTGGCAATTCCTAATTTCTGGATGTGGGGTTTTCCTTCAATGTTGCTGATTAAATGGACTGTCCCTTTATGCCTTAGATTTAAGTGTAACAATTTGTTTGGGTTTGGGGTTGTTCTATAGGAGGATAAAGATACGGATTCCACCAAAGAGCCTTTGGATGACTTATTTCCCAATGATGAAGATGACCAAGGACAAGGAAGTAAGTGCACTTCAAATTACAATGTTAGTGTATTTCTGCAGTGCGGAATATAAAGATGCTCTTTACAAAAATGAATCCATGCTTGGGGTCCTCTGGGATACAGTGGAGTGGTGAATGCCTCTGCTAGAATCAGGAAACCAGTCATTGATATACATTCTGTACATCAATACGTACAAAACTGGGGCTTAGTTTTTTAAAGAGAGTTTACTAGCTTTTGTAAAGTTCTTGGGGCTGACTTCAGTACAAAATTGGTTCCACAGTCTTTCCTGTGGGCCTCAGAATGGAAGAGGTTTGTTCCAAGTGACTGGGGCAGATTCTGGAACATTGAAGCTTTTTGATGGTCTGCCCAGATGGTGAATTCTGTTAATGACCTTTTTAATAAACTGATTTAACATTTTGGGGCAGGTTTCAGTACGCAGTCTTTCTCATATACTCTTTTCTCCTTTGCTAAGATTGTCTTCCTTAGTTTTACTACTCATTCTAGAAGTATTGTCTTCAGATCAAAAGGACTGATGAATATGCAGTGAAGTTTGAGGTAGGGGTATGGTAGTGTGGCTGATAGAAGCCATTAATAGATAAGGCTTGCTTAGTGAAATGTGTTTTTCGTATGGGTATAAAGCTGATATTATATAATATATTGATATTGTAGTGTACATGCAGTGTGCTAGTAGTATAATGGTTCTTAGTAGACAAATGACTTCAGAAAAAATGTCTGAAGGGTCCCACCTTTGTAATCAGCAGAGTTTTGAATTTCCTTTATGGGCACATACGCAAGATACACTGCATGCTTGATAGCATGGTAATGCTATCCATAGCCAGCAATGGAAGGAAGACTTGAAGAGTTTAGAATAGGTTAGTGTTGACTGTGAACTCCATCCTGAGCTCATCCTTCCTTCTCTAGAATTTTGTAGTACGAAAATGGAACGGCAAAGCTGTCTCTATATCTGCGTAGCCAATCTACCTTACTTAGCTTTACAGAAGACAAAGTTGACATTTCAGTAATTTCCTTGACCTCCAGGAAAAATACTGAAATGCTTCAGTGCTTTGGTAGGCAGTGATTGTGGATGTAGGCTTGGAATTGTATGATTCTACCGACCTAAAAAGGCTCCCACTTGCTGTGAGAGTGTATTTTGCTATTAAACAAAGAGAGAGGAGAGAAGAAAGGCTCACAGCTGGAGCCCTTATCCTGTGTGTTGTCTAGAATTGAACGAAAATGAGTGAGAGGTAACTTTCTTAATTTTCCCAGAAATCTCTGAGGTGAAGAGAAAAAGGGTAGTAGATTTTGGGGGGGCGTGGGAGGGTGGAGGTTGCAACAACTAAAGGTAAGGAGCTACTGGAAAAGAAGTGGCTAACCCTGAGGGTTAGTAAGTAAAACCGAAAGGTTGATACTGGCTTTGACTCAGTGCCTTTTCTCTTGCAACTGTTACTAGTGGCATCCAAGGTGTTTTAATCCTTTATGTGCCAACCTTAAGTATTCCTTGGTGTTGCAAACAAAGGGAAACAAAAAAAAATTGTATGTTTAGAGAAGGAGAGTGAAGGAAAAAGAACAAATCATTCGAGCTTTTCTGCAGGTATTTGGCTTGTCTATGTTAATGTTCCTTTCCAGAGGGAAACGTCGATATTTGTAAGTGCAAAATTGTGATATAATCTTGAGAATTGTTAATGGTTCCCTGAGCTGAAATAGTTTCCTACTTTCTTCATTGGTCTATTACATTTGGCCCTTTGAGCTAATAGAAGTGTAAAATAATATTAATACAATACTGGACAGAGTATGAAGAATAAAATGGTCATATTTTCACTGTCACTGTTCAAGACAGCATGACTGCTGTGAAGTATGTTCTAATACTAATGCTTTGTATTGAAGAAATAAAATTCAGTGAGTCTCATTTTGTGTCATTGAGCAGTAATGTTAAATGTTTTAGTTACAGTCATCTTTTAAACAACTTGAAATCTTATGGATTTCTTTCAGTTCAACAGCAGCATAGCAGTGCAGCAGCTGCTGCCCAACAAGGTGGCTATGAAATTCCAGCAAGATTAAGGACCCTTCATAATCTTGTTATTCAGTACGCTTCCCAAGGTAGATATGAGGTTGCTGTACCTCTCTGTAAACAAGCTCTTGAAGATCTGGAGAAGACTTCGGGTCATGATCATCCTGATGTTGCCACTATGTTGAACATACTTGCTTTGGTGTACAGGTTTGTATACTGACATAGATAAATATCAGTTAAATAAATAGTTAATATTTGGTTACAGCCTGTTAATGTTCAGACTAACATTTTTTGACTGTTGTATTATTTGCCCTATTTTTTATTAAAATCCTCAAGAGGGTCCTGCAATATTTATATGTGTCCCTGTACTTAAAAGTCGAACAAGTTGCTGCATTTTTGCCTGTGCCTTTGTTTTGGCAGTGAAGCTGGTTTTGAGACTTTTTTTTTTAATTTGTCTACTGAGGGGGCATGTCTTGATTACCTACTTACAGATAATCTAGAGGTATAAATTGGTCAGTGTAGAAGTAGTACATGCTAGTCCTTACCCAGCACGCTACTTTACAGTTACAGCTTCAGGTTTTTAATTCCTGATATCTGAATATATTCTCAATTAGTCTTCTTTTGTACTAGCATCTTTAGGCCAGTACTGAAGTCAGCTTCATTTTTATGACTTTCTTTTCTGAATCCCCAGTATTAATCATGACTCTTTAAAAATTTAGAGACCAGAACAAATATAAAGATGCAGCAAATCTCCTGAATGACGCCTTGGCTATCCGCGAAAAGACTTTGGGCAAAGATCATCCAGCGGTTTGTATACATGCAATATCATATCCTTAGTTGTGTTTTTCACTGAATTATTTTCAACTCATTCTAATATTAAACTCAACAGGAAAGTTTTTAAGACCTGGCTTATCTCTAAACAGTACAGGTAGGAGGCCACAATGTAACATTCTTTGTTTTCTCTTAAATATTTAGGGTACCTTTCGAGCATTGTATTCAATGCTGTTTCACCACAAATGACTTGCACATACTTGATCTCGGATTGCATGGATTTTCTATGGGAAATTAATTTGGGAAGAAAGATTTTAATTTGCTTACTCAAATCACTTGATTAGACTCAAATTGAAGGTGTACTTCTGATTTGTTTTACTGCTGCATTTAAATGAAACGTAATAATCAAGCTTTTGTACTTGGTGTTTAAAATTAACGTGATATCTCACTTCATGTAGCCTGTGTGAAGCAGGGCAGCTCTGAGTATAGATGTGAGAGGTAACTTTATAAGAGAAGAACGTATGAAGAAAATGTATGCACTAAATGAAATTTCCACAAATGAAGCAAAAATATTTTGTGATTTTGGTTTTTTCCTTTCCTTGTTTGTGTGTGTATACATTCAATAATAATTATTACTTCATTTGCAAATTTCAAGAGGTCTACCCTGTGCATGGAAAATTTGAAAACATCAGTGCATTGCAGATGTGTTGATTTGTTAGATATTTCTGTTGGCAAATTCCAGTGTAATTAATATTTCTCTACTGTTGACAGGTGGCAGCAACTCTAAACAATCTTGCAGTACTTTATGGTAAACGGGGGAAGTACAAAGAAGCTGAACCATTGTGTAAGCGAGCTCTGGAAATCAGAGAAAAGGTATGAGTAAAAGAATACAGCACCTTTGAATGGATTTTTTTGAGAGAGGGGGCAAAGTTAAACACTTTTTTTTTTTTTGATGTTTTGGTTGGGTAGATCTGCCACAGAGTTAGCAATGCCTTAGTAGTTAGCAGTGTCTGAAATTGAAAACAGTAGTAAATTCCAGTAGTCCTATGGAGCTGTTGGAGCACTGTATTTCTAAATGATGCATTTCTAAACCCTGATATGACGATTGGATAATGTTTTAATACAAGGTATTTCATTTTCAGGTTCTGGGGAAAGATCACCCTGATGTTGCCAAACAATTAAATAATTTGGCTTTACTATGCCAGAACCAGGGTAAATATGAGGAGGTTGAATACTACTATCAGAGGGCACTGGAGATTTACCAAACTAAGCTAGGACCAGATGATCCAAATGTTGCAAAAACAAAGAATAACCTGGTAAGCCTTTTATAAAGTAAATAAAAGAAAAAGTAAAATTTTCTGATTAATTGAAATGCACCTTTATTCAGCATGTATTGTATTTACTATTTATCAAGCTAAATAAAACAGCGTGCTGATATATCTTTTTGGGCGTATTTTGTTTTCAGGCATCCTGCTATCTAAAACAGGGCAAATTTAAGCAAGCAGAAACTTTATACAAAGAGATTCTTACTCGTGCTCATGAACGGGAATTTGGCTCTGTAGATGGTAAGAAACAGTCCCTACATTTGAATGTATGTTTCATTTTCGTAGTTACTATGAAATAAAATCTGCAGGAAGTTAATTGCATCCTGATTAAGTTCACCTCAAGCAGAAAACAATCTTAAAGAGTGAGATTATAGATGTGTTGAAGTACATTCATCATAAGAAAGCATTTAGATAGAGCAGTAACATTTGATTCAAAAGGAGAGTTTTTCTTATGTGAGGTAGACTTGGTAGGTTTATGTTTTATGGATTGTTATTTCTGGCATAATTTCTTATGCCCAACCAAAACCAATTTTGGTATTTTTGTAGAGGCAGAAAAATGTATGTCACTTTCCAGTCACAGGAAAAAGTCAGTGCAGGATTTTTAATGATATAATATATACATTGTTAATATGAGTCCTCCATTAATACATTTAAAGAATGGGGAAAATACCCTTAAATTGTGAACTACATGGTACATTGAAGTCAAATGCATTTTATCAACTATACATCACAGTGAAGAATTTTCATTGCATTCCGTGACGGTAGCATATGCACCACTTAGTAGATGTCAAAACAGTTGTTATGATAAAAGAAATAAATGCGTGTTTTCAAGCACAGAACTACACACATGACAAATCGATGACAGCATATACTGACTTCAGAGCTTCTCAGAAGTAACTGTTTCTAAGTTCAGATAAGAAAAGACAGAATTGTAAAACTATAAAAGAAGAGGTGCATGTTTTATTTATCTGCTGCTTGTAGTATGGACAGTAAGCTTTTTTGTAGTCGTAATAGTATAATTCTCTGGTTCACAACTTCAGAAGGGTGAAAATCAAACAGTGAATACTTTGTAGTTTTGTACTTCTATAAAATATTTTCTTCTGTTTCATCAGATGAAAATAAGCCTATTTGGATGCATGCAGAAGAAAGGGAAGAATGCAAAGTAAGGCCATTGTCATAAATCTTTTTTGGAGCTTTGACTATTTAAGTTACAAATCAGTTACTTTTCTTCAATGCTACTTTTGTTTTAGGGAAAACAAAAAGATGGCACGTCTTTTGGAGAATATGGTGGCTGGTACAAAGCTTGCAAAGTTGACAGGTGGGTAATTTCTTTACAGGACAAGCAACGCGGCAATACCCAGTATCCAGAAATGTCAGATTAAAGCATGTTTAAAAATGAAACCAAACCAGCTGCTTGCCTTAGGACTATAAAGACTATAGTATTAAAATTTCAGGTCCCAAGACTGGGTTTCAGGAACACAGTGGCAATTTTGAAGTCCTGGGGCTGCTTTTAATCTAGGCTGGTTAGATCTAGTAAGTGACATAAAAATTCACCACTTGTGTTCTTGGCAGTCCTTCACGTGGAAGCATAGGTCACCTTTCTTTCTTTTTATACTGCTGGTTGGCATACGTGCTCTCCCTGCCCCAGCAATACCTCTAGAGAAGGCCAGAAGCAAAAAGGAGACTGTGCAAATAACTGAGCCTTGAGTTTTCCAGCTGGCACAAGAAACAAAGTTAAACTGCCACTATTCAGCATTATTTGAGTTTCTGAAGCTTGAAAAATATAGTTTTGTGTGAATGAAAATGTGTCCCTTAAAATGGAAGAAGAGAAACAAGGACTTCAGCTTGGATTATGCTTAGTGAAATATTTTTTGTTGGCTTTAATTTTGCTCGTTAGCTGCCTTTTTTTTTTAACGTGCAGGTGGTACAATGTAAGAAAAAACCTGCACCTAGTACTGATAATACTCAGTGAGGGTTTTTCGTTTCTAACACTTTTGAATTCTTGTATTTAACAAGCAATAGAACCTTTGTACTGTTGAAATCTGCTCTTTTTTTCTCCATCCTGAACTCTGGGTGCAGTACACTTCATTGGTTTGTTTTTCATGTGCTAGTTCATTCTAATGCATGAGGAAATCTTTTCTCTGCTGTTACTGGAGCAAAACTTCAAGCAACAATACTGTGACTGAGCTAATTCTCATTGTGTCATTGAAACAAAAATGTCTTGTTGGAGTGTGAGACTTGTTAATGGAATGTGCGATATTTTTTTTTCCCTTTATTCTTCAAACGTAGTTTGAATACATAGAAACTGCAAATGGGTACTAAGTAAAAGCTGATGAAAGGAACTGGTAATTGGTTTTGTGACTAACACATACTACAGTAATGGTCACTGTATGCATGAGTAGACATTTTCTGGAAGCTTCACAGTTACTCAGTTGGACACACTCAGATTGAGCTAAATTTTCACCTGGAGATGCATCTGAGAAACACAAGGATCTAGCCCTCCAGTTTTCTCTTGAGTAGATCTAGAGGCTAGTGACTAACTTCCAGTTTCAGGGCTGTTTACTAATCATAGTGTGAGCCATTAATGCATGTTGAAAGGGCTTAACAGGGTTTTCCATGTATGCGAAGTACAGTATAGTATATTTCAAGGGAGACAAATAATTACAAAAAAATGTGATAAATACTATATTAATTTAAGTTTTTATTAGTTTGTGAATTGAGAAGAGTTGAGTGTGTGTGTATAAATATATACTTTTTCTTTAAATAGTCCAACAGTAACAACTACCTTAAAGAACCTTGGGGCACTTTACAGACGACAGGGCAAATTTGAAGCTGCTGAAACATTAGAAGAGGCAGCAATGAGATCTCGTAAACAGGCAAGTATGAAAATTTGCCTTAATGATATTCTGCACTGTGGTCATGCAGATTGTCAACTTCAGTATCTATCGTACATGCAGGATATATAAACTTTTAGCTATTCAGTGTCTGGTGCCTGGTGTTGCCCTCTAATTTCAGTCTTAACTGGTGATAAACTGATACCATCTTAACACTTGCAAACCGGTGAATTGCACCATGTACCAGGGGCATGATCAAACTGGGAGTGAAATAATGTGGAAAACGAAGAGCAGAAAATGCTGTGGTGGCCAGCAGTCCTCAGCTGGCTACATGTCCTGGGAAAGAGACTGTAGCTAGGGGAAAATTGAGAGTTTCTGTTGATAATCTCCTTTGCCAGTAATGCTGTTCTACTTTTAATAAGGAGCTGTCAAACTTACAAATGTTCTGTTTCTGCATACGACTGACTGCGACTGGTGCAGACCTTCAGAAGACAATTATAAATTTACCAGTTGCCGTTTCTGTTACTTTTGCAAGCCGATGGGATGGATATTACAGTTTAGGGGGGGACTATTATTCTTTTAATGTGGAGAAGTTCTGTGCTGTCTCTGTACTCTCAAATCTGTAACCCCTTCTCACAGTCTTAGAAGGTGGGGAGAGGGTTTGGTTTTGTTGGAGTTTTATTGGCTTTTTGTTTTTCCTTTCCCTTTTGGATGATTTGATACAATGTCTTTTATAGAAGAGCTGGACAAGCAAACATGGCTTGTCAGTCAGTGTTAAAATGGAAAGCAAAATAAGAAAATATACGTGAATAGAAAAAAAAACCTTGGAAAGCTCAATTTTATTTTTGTTTTTATGCAATAGTAAATAAGATTTGTATTTTTTTCAGAAGTGGTTTGTTTTGTTGTTGTGGTTTTTTTTTTCCTTATATGTCCATGTAAAATTCTAAACTCAAATTCTAAATTGAAGTAAACTGATTTAGGTGATGGGTCTTATCTTTATTGATAATGTACTGGCTTTTTATTTGGTTATACTGATTTGAAGTTGTATTTTGAAGAATGATAGTGCAGTGTTTGTATATAGAAGCAGATTTCTGGAAAAGGGAGAGAGCAAAAAAAGTTCCTGGCAAACCTCATGCTCTTCCAGTGAATTCAGCAACAGTTCCCTTTGATAAAAGGTGGCATAAGTTCTTTCTTCCACAAAAAACAATGGGAAACTTGCGAGTGTTTGCCAAATAAATGGAATGAAACTAGTAAGCGAAAAGTATGAATCTGGGAGAAAAGTTCTTCAGCAAGGAAAATTCAAGGGTGGTGGTGGGGAATAGCCGATACAGATGCTTTCTTTTACTGAGGATGATTTTTCACATACTTTTACTGAAGGTTCACTTTTGGCGTGTGTCTCATTCAAATGTGATTTGAAGATAAGTGAATGTGCACTGCATCTTAACATACTCGCTTTGGTTCTTAGTTTTACTGTTGCCATCACACGTGATAATTTTTTAGTGTGAACAGATAACAACCAGGATAAATTGGTGTAATATAATAGTAATAAGACTGGAAGAAAACTTAGCTTGTAGTTATGTTTATTTCCTTTTTTTTATATAAAAAAACCAAAACAGAACACCAGTTTCTCAAGTTCAAATTTTTACTGTGAAGCTTGGAATTGATTATTTGGGAATTATGGGAGGATCTTGCTATTGGAGAAGTCTCTAATTTTAGAGTCGCTATTTAATCAGTCCAATTCTGGCTTGCCAGCTGGAAAAACTGTACCTTGTCTCCATTTTCCACAGAGTCTGCTGGAGGCTCGCTGCTGCTACTTTATTTTTATTAAGCATGCTTCAGATTTTCATTGGTGCATCATATACCACCTATACCATTATACCGTAATATATCACATTGCACACAGCACTGGATTTGGACATGTAGGAAACAATGCTGTCTTACTAGCAGCGTTTAACACTACCTTTCTATTCTAGGTCATTAAAGTAAAGGAGGACGGACAGGGTTAATGCATGTCCCCTTTTGAGCTAAAAGCAGAGAGGTACTTTTGTTCCCAGGTGTGGAAAAGCATCAGTCCTCCACAGCTTTGTTCTCCTTCATGCATTTTTTTGTTTGCTTTAGCTGCTGGGATGTATATGCTAGATTTTTGAAGACCAGTGAAGTTTTGTCCTTCATCTTTCATGACAAGAATCGAACAAACCAGGAAAGTGCAGTTCCCTGTCCCTTCGTTTTTTTATTTTTTTTATTTTTAGCATGTGAGGTAAATGAGAGACAATAGCTTTGGAACAGAGCCTAGAGGTGGTTTATGTGATACATCACCTCCTCAGTGATGATTTTAAATAATTTTATACTTTTTGTGTTCTGTGCTGCTAAAGGGTTTGGTGCAAAAGCCATTTTGGGCTTACACTTCTCTACTGTCTGAAAGCTCTAGCCACTTCTCTGCACCGTACAGCCACGTGGATGTGAAAATATATGATCATTACATGTTGGTTTCATGCTTCCTTGTAGAATTCCATTAGGGAGGGCTGTTCTGCTCTTCAGTTAGTGGAAAGCAGCGATGAGGGAACCAAGAACCTGATTTCTCCATGCCACTAAAACAACTTTCATTCTTATTCATGCACTTTACTTAAAAGTAAAATTTTGGCATGATTTTCACTTTCTGTATTGTGGTAGACTTTATTGATTTGTTGCACAGATCCCCTGCTGCATTTGCTGCTAACGCTGCACAGTGAAGGATGCGGAGTATTTTCTTACGTGTAAGGCATTCATGTGGGATCTCTTCCTGTCAGCAAATACTGTTTATTATGTGGAGTAGGTTTATCATAAAGAAAACAAAACTGAAAATAAGTATGATTTGAGCTTTGTTACTTTCTAGTTTCTGTGTTAAAGATTTTGCCTTTATTTTTAGTGCAGGGTTTTCACAGAAGGTGTTTTAGCACTTTTAAGATATTTAAAGGATTATTTGGTAATTGATGTGCATTCTTTAACACGAAGTAAACGTATTTTATTGACCATATATCTAGTTCATTTTCTATTTGACTTCTTTCTGAAGGATAATTTATACTACTGTGCCAAGTGTCATATGTCAGTATTTTCAAATAACACAACCTATGTCTTAGGTATTAGACAGTCAGACACCTGCAACATTCTTTCCAAAGGTGGGTGAATGCTGCACCATTTGATAGGTGGAAAACTGAGAATTCCATTGACTGTTCATGATCTATAAATTGCTTAAATATTAAGCTGGTGGCCAAATGGCTTCAGGTGAGTGACATAAACACCATGAGGCTTTGACAAGTGATAGGGAAGGAGGAAAAGAATGGCAAGTCACTGAATTCTCAAACTACCAAACTGTCCGTTCATTTCATGCTGTGTTGATTCCTGCAATATATAAAGGACTGCCCTTTGAAGGCAGAATCAGGGAAATGGAGTTACGGGTTTGATTGACTTCTTTCTTGATACTGTTATTATGTGTAAGTTGTAGATTAATACAGCTCATAATAAAATAAAACCTTTTCCTATTTTACTAATTCTCAGGGTCTTGACAATGTTCATAAACAGAGAGTTGCTGAAGTGCTGAATGACCCTGAGAGCATAGAAAAAAGGCGAAGCCGAGAAAGTCTCAATGTTGATGTGGTAAAGTACGAGAGTGGTCCTGATGGAGGCGAGGAAGTGAGTATGAGCGTAGAATGGAATGGGGTAAGTACAGTACACAGTTTAAGAAAATAGCCTAGATAAATTATCACCATAACAAATACGGTTGTCCATTCTCCAGCCTATTGTGTTTTCAGTAGTTTCTTGGTTGATCTACTTTGTATTTTGTAATTTTGCAGAATCAATTAAGAAATGAAGAGTAACATTTTGTTTTTCATAACATCATGTAAAAAATTGTAATATTTTAAAATTTTAAAACATTCTTTCTGCTGTTGTCCTGAATGGTGAAGTTTCTTCAAGAATCCCAAGCAGTTGCATTTAAGTTGTTTAATGCTGATTGAGTGTCCTGGTTATGGTCTGGCATACAATTGCTTGTCAGTGGTTTCTTTTTACTGGTAGAAATATTCTGGCAATTAACTTACTCTGCTTTTGTCCTTTTGATGCCATATTTGCCCGTATTTTACATGTTTCTTTAAAAACACTGCATCTGTTGGAATCACAAAGAACATTTGCTCTGGAAATGTATTAAGTGTTAGCAGTTTTAGGGTAAATTAAAGTGATCAGTCTAACACTAAAATAATTCCAATCTCCTCCTTACCCAACTTGTTAGAGGAAAGAACATGACTTTTCAAGCTGCTGTACAATCCGTTTTAAGAGGCAGTGCCATCACGTAACAAGGTGATAGTAACTTCACATTTCTTAAGTGAAATATATTAATATCACTTTCCCGTATTAGAATTTGACTGGAGTCAGGGCTTGTTCCTATTTGTTTCCCATATATTGGCTTCACTGTGTAACACTGATTGTCATAAAGTAAAAACATATATATAATGTGATTACATATGCATTTTTCTAACCATTGTTTTCCTTTGTTTGAAAGACAGTGGAAGAAGCTTTCAGTTATTGATTTGGCTTGTATAGTTGTTTGCTTCTGTCACCAGCTTTCGTATGCTTTATCCCATTGCTGGCAATGGGATATATATTGCACTGTTAACTAACTCCCAGCTGCAGTTCTGCTGAAAATATTCTGTTAGGTTATAAAAATGCTGTTGCCTGCTTTTGCTGTATGGGAGGGAAAGTAGCCTACTTTGCAATATTGAGTGTTCTGAAGTTTCATTTCTCTTACAACAGCTATTTTTTTTTTCTTCCTTTTTTTAGCCACATGAGACAAAGTTTAGCATTCCAAAGAAACCTTGATAAAACACATACTGCTTTAGTCTTAAAGGAGAATGTTCTTTTCATCTTTGCTTTTGTCTCTTTATTATTGTTTTCTTGGCATTGGTGTTCTCAGTGCCAAGACAGTCAATCAGCATCTATTGTGAATAATACTGCATCATTAATAAAGCTGAAGTAAGGTTGGATAACACTTTTTTTAATTCTCATTTTGCCCATTCAGCGTTAGAACTGTGTACTGTACTCCTCCCTTAATTTTCGCTGTAATTTGCATGACTATATGTTCTAAATGGATTAAACTTCTTTCTGTTATTGACATTAATTAAACAAGCATGCAGGTTTTGGATTGAAAAGGCCTTCTGGAAAAGCAATAGACAGTATTTCTAGGTCAATATTTGAATCAAACTCTGATAAAATTTGTTGATCTGAAAAATTAAATTTTGACCTGTCAAGACAAACAAACTTTTCATTTTTAGTGTGCTGAAGTGGCATTGCTTTATTCTTGTCTTCATTATTTCTTTTTTCCCCCTCTTAAGAGAAGGTATTTTGTATTACATCTTTTACATAAAGTGGGCAACTCACTCTCCCTCTACCCTGCTAGTGTTTCTATCTTAGTGCTGTCCTTCCCTCTACTTTATATCGTGTAGGTTTTTTTTACCCTCGTGTGTTCCCTCCAGACAAAATATTCTGATTCGTAAAGTATAGTAGAATTTTTTTATCAGGCACATACTTTGTGTGCAGAGCCTGAAGAGAGGCCTGCCTTTTCCCTTTAAATTCTTCTGAAGTGGTCAAGCTGACTTACGTTCTTCGCTGTCAGAGAATAGGTGGCGTGTGTAAAGCAACAAACTTCAACGAAACTATGTTGGAAGATTTTTTGTAATTAAGTGACTTCCATATGGAGTGTAATCACTATTAAGCATTGTATGCTTTGATGTAATGTCTTACATTCTTACAAAAAGAACTGAAATATCTATTGGAAGTAAATCTCTTATTAGTATGTTCGTTTTAACAGTTAAGTGAGGTTGTGTAGTGCATGTTTACATGTTTCATCTAAAGTCCATCCCTTAAAGTTAACCGAAGATACTTGAAAATGCAAAGAAATACTTTGTCTTAAAAATTCAAGGTAGAAATCTCAAGATTTTTATCCCTTACTATGTCTGTATATTAAAAATGACAGTGGGTGCCCATCTGTAATGGGCACTTTTGTAAATTGATCTTGCAGCCGGTTGGAGGACAGATTAAAATCTTTGTGGTATGATGGTGTTTAATTTAAGATAATGTTTTTAGTGTAAGGAAGTATCTTTTATTATTCTAAACCATATGCTTCAAAAAGACAAGCTTTTGGGCACATCAGTCCACATTCAGGTGTGAAACAAAAGCAATAAATTTCACTACCATAGACTAACTGGTAAAAGTTGCTCTTGTTTAATGAAAGTGTCAGTCAGAGCAGCATTGTAGCAGACAACTACAAAGTACAGGAGATGATGGTGGGGAGGTGTAAGCAAAAGCAATAAGGTGACTCTCATTCTGAGTGATATAAAAATTGGCGATTAATCTTTGCCATAGAAATGGATATTTCTGATTTTTTGTTTGTTTACACTGGATTTAAGAATTTTTTTTTTTTATCCTAAGCTCATGTTTTAAAGGTGTTTTGTTAATCATGCAGTCAGTGTTTAACTTGGAAGTTCAGTGGTTTTATTTGGGATTTGAAATACCCAAAGGTTGTCTGCTTATTCCTAATGTGCTAGTTAGCATAATAAAAGGTATACTCTATATCTACCAAATTTGTCTTGCCTTTGTTCATTGGTTCATTATCACTACTATAGCATCACTGGTTTCAGACCATAGGAATAATTAGCCTTTTCACTGATCTAACACTTCAGTTGGAATTTAGACTTCAATTTATTCAATTCTGCAAAACTGAAGTCTATTTTTTAAAAGTGTGAACAATATATGCAATTTAGTTTGAAACATAAATACTTGGTTAGGTTTTGATCTTCTAATCGCTTGGTAGCGAGGCGTTTTGGCATTTGCGAGCACAATTTTAATTACTGTTCATTCCAGTTGCTATAGGTAAAGGTTCTCAAAACGGGTATCTTAAGACTATCAGTAATGGTTTCCGTACTTAGCACCGAGAACGGAAAGCATATAAATTGAACCACAGCTTATATTTAAAGGTGGATTCTTTCAGCTGCCTCACTGCATTAGGGAAAGTACAGAAGTTTCCAATTGGATAATACATATAGACACAGATATGTTCTAAAAAATACTCGTGAGGTCAGTTGGATTCTGATTCCTTAAAGGAATGAACAGAATTTTGTCTGGAGGTTAGGGGAAGACCTCTTTCTTCTTGCAGTTTTGTTTTGAGGAAAATTCCTGACAGAAGTTAAAGCTGAAATGAATGCACCTTGTTCTGTTCCTTTCTTCCTTTTTTTTCCCTTTATTTTTATTTTTGTGTTAATGTCAGCTGAAAAAAAAATCCTTTGTTTACAAAAGGTAATACTAAAGCTGTTCCTTTTTAAAGGTGTTTTGTATTTCACACAAATGCTAACTTAAAGAATGCACAGCATCGTTCATGCCTGTTTGTAAGTCGCATACTAGTCACATAGGCGAAACTGTGTAAAGATGTACCTTCTGGTAATTGCAAGGGCCTGCACTTTGTAGTTAAGGGCAGTCCAAATACTGAACTCTGGAAAAAATTGTTTTGAATGTGACCTAGAAATACTGTAAACATAACTGTTCAAAATTGAAAACTGTTGAATTTTTCCCAACAGTTTCATGCAGTTTTTCTCTCTCCGTTTCTGACAGGCCTAGATGCCTTTTGTGATTCTTATACTGTCTCCTGCATGACGGGCGTGCACCATCTTCAAGCTTTAACTTCTCTCTTCAGTACTGACTGCTGTGTTTTAGCAAACCCCTTAAGATTCTTGTCAGAGCTACACTTCCCTGTAAACTGGCCATTCCTTCAGTGCTGGTGTCTTTTTTTGGTTTTTCTATTTCTGTACATCTGTAGCTTTGCCAGATATGTATCTAGTCATACAAAATGTTATTACAACCATTTGCTGTGTAATACATTAGTAAAAGAAAACAAAAGTAACAATGAACTTTATAAGTAGCTGTTCACTATGGAAAAAAGGTAGTTAAAAGTATCACACAAGGTATTATTGAAATGGCATGATGGTGATCTTTACAGGAGAAAACCAAACCAAAACCCGTAACAGTAAGGCATGTTCTCCAAGTGCTTTAAAATGTATTTAGAGACCTATTACATGGCTAACATCACTATGGAACTCTGGATGTCTTCACTTATGATTATTCTAAAGTAGCATTGCTGTTTAGTCTTTGTGTGAGATTTTGGCAATTATGCTTTTCTCTACTAATCTTGGTGTTCAGTGATTTGTGTATTTGTCTTTCTAACTTCTAATAAACTCACTCCAACTCAGGTGTCTGTCTTGTCTGCTTAGTAGTACTTTACTTTCTTCTTTTACAACTCTTCTTTCATAATCATGTAGGATTTCTATGAAGTAGGAAGCGATCACTTCTAATCTTACTAAACTGTTGGGTTTTGTTTTTTGTTTTCGGAGTAAAACGTTTGAAAATAGAATTGTGCTCAGTTGGAAGTTTCTTTGGATCAGCACAGCAGTGTAAAACATGAATGCGATGTACGAAAAATTCATTTCATCATGTTTTACATTTTCTTTGAAAGTTAAAATGAAGCATAGGAATTTAACCATACATGTTTCTGATCAGAAATATTTTTGTTTAAGGATGTTAGGATTAAACAAACATGTTTGCAAGTAATGTAGATGTTTAGAAAAAATAAAACAGTTTTTTTCTTAGACTCTGATGGAATGCTTTTGCTTGGGGCTTGTACTCTGTTAACTACAGTGCGCTCATGTGAAATGGTAACACGGTGATGGTGAACTGTTTGACTGCTGTGGTGGGGTTTTATTAATTGTTATGAATCATGGCTTGAGCATGTCTTCATACTTTAGAAATCTTTGCTACAGTTTGGAAGGAACCCTTTTGTTTTGGTAAAGTTATATTAAACACAGTTATATTCTGTGTTTAGGTAACTGTACCAAGTATATATTAATAGCAATTTAAAAAAAAATTTTCATCAATGAAATGTTTTTGAGCCAGGCTTGGGGGAGGGCGACCAACTCTTGCACTTTCACATTTGTTCAATTTTTTTCAGGATGGCACTGGATCTTTAAAACGCAGTGGTTCCTTTAGCAAACTTCGTGCTTCCATTAGACGCAGCAGTGAGAAGCTGGTTAGAAAGCTGAAGGGAGGAAGTTCACGAGACAGTGAACCAAAGAATCCAGGGTAATTATCTATTCTTAGCTGTGCTGGTGTGCCCTCGTTCTGTGCCCCCCCTGTAGCCTAGTGCAGTACCTACGGCAGTGTTTTCTTCTCTGCTTAGCTAACCGCGTATCGTATAGATTTATATCTTAAAGAAAAATAAAATAGGAAATAATTTCTTAAACTTACAATGAAAGTTCTATAACATCTGAGGAATTATATTTGCTTTTAAGAGTTAACTCAATTTTAACAGTGTGTTTTCCCTTTTTACTGCTTTAGCCACTTGAAGAATACAAAAGCCTCATAGAATTATTGATAAGTGTTAGTTACCTGCAAAATTCTCCTTTTCACACAGCAGTGAAGAATAATAAATGTTACCGATTTTTACAATAAAAGCTTGAATACAATAAACCCACAGCTAACATTCTTGATATAGCTTAATATCTTGATATATTCTTGATATAGCTTTATATATTGCTGTGGGTATAAAGAGGATTACTGATTTGAGCCCGTCTCAGTTGCTATTTTTGGAAAACCCAGATTTCAGAGAGCAGAGGAAAACGCTGAATAACTTGAACCTACTTGTGCATCTCATTAACATTTTGGCCTCTGTGAAGTCAGTGGTAAAAACTCAAATTCGAACGAATCTGACTTCTCACTCT